TAGCTTTGCAGCGCAGCCTTGTAGAGAGGCTTGCACGCCAGTACTGCGACAGAGAGTGAAGAAGAACCCTAACCTCAGCGGTTGTTGCCCCAGAGACAGAATAACAGCCAGGAGTATAAACTCATGTTAAATAAGGATGCTCGGCGCGCGCTGAGCTTTCATTACCTGGTTTCCATCATAGCCCTGCTCATTAGATCCTTTTCAGCCCAGATTGCTCATTTCTCCTCCATCCTCCTGAGCATTTGTCTCCTGTGCTGTTATTGGTGCCGCCCCGGGTCCCTGGATGACGGGCGCTGGGGCGCCGTCCCTCCCGCCAGTGGTCGGGCGGCAGGCGCTCCCTCCCGGCCACAGTAGCCGCCGACTCTGAGCAGCGCCGTCTTCCTGCAGCCAGCCAGCCTCGGTGTCCTCTTCTGCAAACAGCGAGGTTAAATTCCATGCGCTCTGGGGCTTTCCCCAGAGCGGGACAACTCTGATGCCGTTAGTTGAGGCAGAAGGACCTCCAGCTGTCACCTTGGGCATGAGTGAGGGGGCGCCTCCCCTGCCCCGTGCCCTGGTGTTTGGGTCTGGGGGAGTTAGGAACGGAGAGGGCCGTGAGAGGCGGGAGCCAAGGCTGGTTGCAGGGGGGCCACTGGGGCCCCCAGCTCTGTCCCCAGTGCTGCCAGCTGGGTACCCGCTTGCTGCCCGTCTAGACCCTAACTAAGGACATCACAGGACCACTTCGATGACGAGGGTCTGGCGTCGGCTCAGGAATGGACAGAGCAGTAGGACAGGACGCTCGGGGGAAACCCGTGGAGTCAGAGTGCACAGGAAAGGTGCCTGAACGGGGACACTGAGGTGGCACCTCGCCCGGCGGGCCACCACCACGTCCGTGTGACGCACGAGTCACCACGCGCTGCTCACAGCGGCCCTGCGAGGGAGGTGCCGTCTCACCCGGCTGCCAGGTCCCCCGTCACCCCCACACACAAAACAACACCGTCGCCAGCTGCGGGAGGTGAAACCTGCCTGTCCCACGCGCAGAGGCGGGCCCCAGAGAGCCCGAATCCCTGGGTGTGAACGCTAAAGCTAAGAGGTGACAGAGCAACTCGCAGGACACTGTCCTGGGGACCCAGGAACGAGGAGGGACTTTTTTTTTTAATTATGGCAAAACGTCACACATAACATAACACTTATCATTCGACCCATTTGTAGGTGTGCGATTCGGTGGTGTAAGTGCATTGGCAGTGCCGTGGTCAGCACTGTTACCCCAGACCCTTCATCATGCCGGGTAGAAGCTCCGAGCCCTCAAACACCAACCCCCCCACGCCCAGCCATGCCTGCCACCCCGTCCTCCCCCGTGACTGTCCTGTTCCAGTGCCCCCTGCAGGTGGGGTCACACGGCACCTGTCCCCTCGTGTGGGGCGGACTTCACTCCGCGCCAGTTCCTCGGAGTTTATCCACGTTGTACCGCATGCCAGAGTTTTACTTTTCCTGAAGCCTGAATAACATCCCATCGTGTGCTCAGAGACCGAACTTCTTCATCTGCACGTCTCTGGGTGACATTTGGGCACCTTCCCCCTGTGCTAGGGTGAACGACACTGCCCGCACACAGGTGCACAGGCGTGTTCGAGAGTCTGGATTGTGGGGTCGTGTGGGAATTGCGTGCTGAGCTGTTCGAGGAGCTGCCAAGCTGTTTTCTGCAGGGGCTGCCCCGTTTTATTAGCATTCCTACAGCCAGTGCACGGCCTCACCAACGTTCGTTATTTGCTATCTCACTGTTGTTGTTATTGTAGCATTCCTAGGGAAGGACTCCTTAATTGAAACTTCAGAAGTGCATATCACAAGTTCAAAATGCAGGTGAATGTAAATGCCTGGCCCGTCATGCAGCACTATATACTTGTCACCATGGGAATCCTGAAGCTGTCACTCGAGGGGCTGTGGAGGTCATGTGGATCTTGTCCTGAGTGTTCCAGTTTGCCTCTGGGAATCCTAAAGTTGTCCTTATTCTCAAATGATCCCCCTTCTTTGTTCATTTGTTGTTGCCACAATACTGATTACATCTGTATTCCCAGGTAGCTGAACCTGGGACATGGTGAGCACCAAAAAGAATAATGTCATTGGTTATAACACACTACATTAAAAACAAATCCACAAGCCGGGCGGCGCAGTGGCTCACGCCTGCAATCCTAGCACTCTGGGAGGCTGAGGCAGGAGGATCGCTCGAGGTCAGGAGTTCAAAACCAGCCTGAGCAAGAGCGAGACCCCGTCTCTACTATAAATAGAAAGAAATTAATTGGCCAACTAATATATATAGAAAACATTAGCCGGGCATGGTGGCGCATGCCTGTAGTCCCAGCTACTCGGGAGGCTGAGGCAGGAGGATCGCTTGAGCCCAGGAGTTTGAGGTTGCTGTGAGCTAGGCTGATGCCACAGCACTCACTCTAGCCTGGGCAACAAAGTGAGACTCTGTCTCCAAAAAAAAAGAAAAAAAACAATCCATGGTTCATAGTCATTCTCACGGAGAGTGGGACCAGTCCCATCTGAAATATAGAAATTGGCTTTCTTAAATTGTCCTGTCTTAAAATGTCCTACTTAAATTATGGGTTCATTGCGACAGGTGATTCTCATTCTCCAAGCTGCTTTGTACAATATGCGGCATACAATATGTACCCAATGAAGCCAGGAAACCTCCAAAACCGCTCCGCCACACGGAGACCAAGGACCCTGCATTTAAAGACAAGCCTTTGGAGTTTTTCAAAAGAAAAACGTGAACACGAAGAACAGAAGCAAGCGCTGAAGGCCACCCTTCATCAACTGCGTCCGCACTGAGAGCATCATCCTTCGTGGCTGCCGCACTGCTGACGCTAGGAAGCCCCTGCCGTTGGTGAAGAGCCGATCCTGCCTGCCGCTGAGCAGGTTGGCCGTGCGCTTGTAGGAGAGGCTGCAGTGCCAAAGGTGCCGCCTGTTCCTCTTTCCGCCAGCACCACAACTAGACGAATTGATGAAACGGCAGAGGACACTGAGGCACAGTTGTTAGGGAGGATTAACGAGCCACCGTCCTACACAATCCAGGTTGACAAGTCTACCAGTGTTGACGAAACGGCAACACCGCTTGGCCTTGTGCGATGCATTTCCAGGAGGCTGTGCGTGAGGATGTGGTACGTGCACTTCTGTTGCCAGCCAACACCACCGCTGCAGAACCACTCAAGTCTGTGAATGGCGGCACGTCAGGAAAGCTGGACTGGCCGTTCTGTGTCGGTACGTGCACGGACGGACGTGCACAGCTGCCGTGGCTGGGCAGCTTTCTGGTGTCACTACTCGGGTCAAGGAGGTCACCTCTGAAGGTGAGTCTACGCACTGTGTCATCCACAGAGAAATGCTGGCTAGCTGGAAAACGTCGCCTGAACTAAACAATCTTTCGCAGGATGTGATTAAAGTGATCAATTTCATGAAAGCCCAAGCCCTTAACTCACGTCTGTCCGTGCAGCTCTGCGAGGAGGCGGACGCAGAGCACACACGTCTTCTCTTGCACACAGAAGTGAGACGGCTTTCCAAAGGCAGGTCACTGGCCAGAGGGTTTGAGTTACGAGAGCCACTCGAGAAACTCAGAAAAACAGTCTCCACTGGCAGCACGTTTCAGTGGCACAGAATGGGCCGCAGAACTTGCTTACTTGTGCGACACATTCAACCTGCTCAGTGAACTCAGTCTGTCCCTTCAGGGGAGAACGACAGCTGTGTTCAGATCGGCAGACAAAGTGGCTGCATTCACAGCCACACTGGAACTATGGGGGTGATGAGTGAACACTGGGATTTTCGACAGGTCTCAAACATTAGCGGAGATTTTGAAAGAGACTGGGCCGGGGCCGCCTTTCTCCCGGCGGGGGCATGATCACCTGTCTCAGCGTTCAGCAGAGCGTGAGCATCCCTTCCCAACCACGACAGGCCCCGGAACTGGGAAGGAATGAGTCAGGGATCCATTAGTGAGTAAGCCAGGTGAAGTGACTCTGTCTGTGCAGAAGAGGGCTGAGTGCTTGAGATCGCAAAGGACGGTGGCCTTAAAAGTATGTTTGAGACGACTTCGCATCTCCATACGCTCTGGCTTAAAGTCACGGCAGAATATGGAGAGATCGCCACCGCAGGGCGGAAGAGCCCGCTTCCATGCCGGACCTCCGATCTTCGTGAAGCAGGGTTTTCTGCAGGGACAGCAGCCAGCGAGAGATTACGGAGTAGACCGGACATAAGCAACACGCTCAGGTGTCACTGTCTCCCATCACCCCCAGATGGGACCCTCTAGCTGTAGGAAAACACGCTCAGGGCTCCCGACTGACCCTGCAGTATGGCGAGCCGTATAATTATTTCGTCATGTATTGCAATGTGATAATAATGGAAATAAAGTGCACAATAAACGCAGTGCTCCTGAGTCATCCCGAAACCGTCCCCGCTCCCCTGGCCAGTCCACAGAAAAGTTGTCCTCCACAAAACTGGCCCCTGGTACTGAAGAGATCGGGGACCACTATTCTAGAGGAAAACTGGCCTGGACTTAACAGAAAGTGCCGGGGGAAGTGGAGTGTCAGACGGTTCTCTTCCAGGAGCAAAACAAAGAAATTTAACAACCAGTATGAGTGGCCCTGCCCTGGACCCCAGGTTGGAAAAATAAGAGGGGTGAATGACATGAGGTTGCTGAGTATGGATTGGTGTGAGGTGACGTCACGGATGAGCGGTGACTTTCGCAGTGTGATGCTGCGTTAGAGATACGTGGACAACGTCCTTAGTCTTGGGAGACAGCTACGGGTAAAGTGTCATGGTGTCTACAATTTATTTTCCATTTGCTTGGAGAGAGAGAGAAAGCAAATGTATCAAAATGTAAATAATTCCTAAATCTCAGATCACCATTATATTGCTCTTTCAAGTTTCGCGTATGTTTGAAATGTTTGTGGTAACAGTTGGGGGGATTAGTTGGATCCAGCACTTCATACCTAGTGTTTTTCCTCCGACCTTGAGGCCTCTGTCTTTCTGCCCCGCAGTTCGGGACCGAGTGCGGTCCAAGATGGAGAGGGACATCCTGGCGGAAGTGAACCACCCTTTCATCGTGAAGCTCCATTACGGTAAATAGAACTAAAAATCGACACTCCTGGGAGGACCCAGGGCGACCTTCTCCAGAACAAAGGAAAATTCTTTAAAAATAATAGATCTGCAAGAAGTAGTCCCTCCCTGTGTCCCAGAGTGCTGTCCCGTCTGGGCAGGAAGGGATCTTAGCTCCCACCCCTTAATCTCTTCTGTGTTCCTTTTCTCTAAAAGAGCAAGATACCCTGTTTTCATCTCAAAGACCTGATTTTAGATGGGGCTCTCCATTGTCATTAAATTATCAACACCGATAATTTAGTAGAAAGGTTCCTTGCTCTAGATTGGGGTGACTCTATGACGTATCTTTTGTTATTTCAAAATAAAATGCTTTGTGACCCAGTAACTTCTTTAAACCGGGAATGGTAACACCTACGTTTTAAGTGCTAATGTGTTTTTTTTTTAAATGCTACTAAGCATTTTAAAGCTAGGGGCTCAATGAACCCTCTCAACTTCCACCAGAAGTAGGTGATTGTTTCCGTTTTCTGAGGCTCAGATCAAATGATTTACCAAAGGCCACAGGTCTGCCTTCCCACACAACTTCTCCCAGTTTGCTTTCTGCCTTTTCATCTCAACTGAAGAATAATAAGTAAAATCCTCAAGTTAAAAAAAATATATAATGAAAGGGTGACTCCGGGGTCATGCCAGACTACGTTAACATGTAACCGCTCAAACAATGTGCGTAAAGTTACGAAAAGAACAACAACAAAACCAGACCTCGTTGTTTGGCAAAGGTGTGACCTCGCGCCCCAAGGACGGGATGGAGCAGACGTCTGTCTAGCTCTCTGGCTGGCTAATTTCTGGCACGACTAAGGAAACAGTCCTGTTTGGGAATTAGGGGGCCTGCTCTTTCACAAGCAGTAAGAGCGCATGTGCATTGTGCGCCGTGCGCACCGGTTGCCCGTTCCGGGCGAGGCCAGGCGCGGTGCGAGCTCCCCTACGGCCGCCAGGCGGGGGCTGCCACTCTGCCACTCGGCCACCTCCAGGGCTGCCGGTTTGCTGGCGTCATTGATACCGGCTCCCAGGGCGCTGTCCTGAAGACACGAAGATCAGACGCTCTGCGTGCGGTCCCTCTGGGGTCGGCACCAGATCTCCATCTGCCCATCCAGGCCCGGGCGGAGCGTTTAATCCGCCCTCACTTTACACAGCCCGACAGAGGGCTTTCTGGCCAGAGGCTTACGTGTCTAAACGCCCAGCGTCTATGAGGGTTCTAGCAGTTTCTTTTAGGAAATGGGAAGTTTTCGAGGATGCAGGGGTATCAGGACCCCTTCCGGCCGTACCTCCTGCATATGTAAAACGCAGTGCGAGGGATGGGCCGGAAGGATGTCAAACTGGCATCGTCACCCCAGTGCCGGGGTGACGATGCCCTCCTGATCCTCACTTGGGGCTTGTCCCCCTTGACCGGGGTGCACCCTTGTCAGCGGGGGACAACAGCCACGTGGACCGTCTGTGCCCTGAAACACAGAAGCAAGTCCACAGCGTAGCCCGCAGTGACCAGACCGAGGACAGGAGCCCCTTGCCGTGACGTGCCGTAGCTGACCAGCCCGGCACCGGCCCGGCACCGGCACCGCCAGGGAAGAAGAAGTCGGGTGGTGCCCCCCGTGCCCTGAGTTGCAAGACGCGGTTCCGTAGGGAGGAAAGAGCCAGCCTCACGCCCCTCACGAAACACGTCACAACAAACTCCACTTTCCAAGGAAGACCCAGCTGTGGCCGAAGCCTGATGTTAGTAGTGGCAGTGATGAGAACGAGTTTGAACGTGCAAATGCGTTCTCTCGGTGTATGTCCTAATTCCTTCTGTGATTAGAAAGGGAAGGAAGGAGGGGAGAAAAGAAGAAAGAAGAAAACAATCTCAGGACTCTTAACAGAAGGGGAGGGACGGCACTGCCCCGGGCCGGGTCCCCGCGCTCTGCCCCTCGGGCGGGCTCCAGGGCTACAGCCGTGTTCCCAGAAGTGTAGCCTCACAGATTCACGTGGTATTTGAGCCAAAGAGAGCTGGGCGTGGGGACCACAGAGGGACCAGGGCCGGGCGAATGATCCCCTCCTACAAGGAGGCTGCACCGCTGTCGGGATGCTCACGTGTCTCTCTCTCAGCCTTTCAGACGGAAGGAAAGCTCTACCTGATCCTGGACTTCCTGCGCGGAGGGGACCTCTTCACCCGGCTCTCCAAGGAGGTGACCGCCCCCCGGGGGTCTGTGCAGGTCAAGGGGCAGGGGTTGGGGAGGGCGGAGAGGGGTGTGTGGTGTGACACGGGTGTAGTATGTGTGATGTGTGTTAGTGTGTGCAGGTCAAGGGGCAGGGGTTGGGGAGGGCGGAGAGGGGTGTGTGGTGTGACACGGGTGTAGTATGTGTGATGTGTGTTAGTGTGTGCAGGTCAAGGGGCAGGGGTTGGGGAGGGCGGAGAGGATTGTGTGGTGTGACACGGGTGTAGTGTGTGTGATGTGTGTTAGTGTGTGCAGATCAAGGGGCAGGGGTTGGGGAGGGCGGAGAGGAGTGTGTGGTGTGACACGGGTGTAGTATGTGTGATGTGTGTTAGTGTGTGCATGCAGTGTGTGTGTACGTAGTGTGTGCATGTGTGGTATGTGTGATACGTGGCACATTCGTGTGTGGCGTGTATGATGCGTGGGGTGTGTTCGAGCGTAGTGTGTGTGATGTGTGGCGTGTGTGTTGTTTTTGAAGAAGTCGCCCAAGTCGCACAAGCAGGTCCTAGAAGGGTCTCGGGGAACCGCTCCCGCAAAGCCTGGATCCTCAGTACCTCTGTTCACTCCCCACGCAGAGCACGCCACTGTCACCCCCGTGGAGAGATTACGCGTCGCTGTGCGGGGGCTGCACTGGGACTGCCCTAGGGAGTGGGGAGTGGAAAAGTGTGGGTGCCCCCCAGCACTCAGCGGCAGACACATGGGGTGGGGGGGTTCAGCACGGGGTCTAGAACGCGGCAGAACGCGGCTATCAGTGAGCTCCCCAGGGATTAACCAGGAAACGCCCAACCCGAGGGGCTGCTCAGCCGGGAGGAGAGGGCGGGCATGCGGGGGAGGAGGGGTGCAGGTGCACGGCACCTGTCGGTCACCGTCCAGGGCTGGTGGCCTGTGCTCCCCAGCGCCCTGGGGAGAATCCCTTTTGCGAAGTGGATGCTGCGTGTGTGTGACCCTGACATCACTCACCGTCCAGTGCCCCCGACCGCCTGGCTCCCGTCCCGCGATTTCTCACGGGGACTGTAAAACACGGGTGGTGATAACGACCTGGTTCCTAGTAAGGCGACTACCAAACGACTGGGGGCGGGGATGAGCCACTTCGAGACAGTGGCTTTGAGGTCTGCTGGGCACCGTGGCCTCGGGCACATTTCAGCTGCCCAGATGGGTGTGCCCCCATCCCGTGGACACGTAGGGCTTCCCGGCCTGGTCGCCGCCGAGCCCTGGGCTGTCCCAGCTGCAGGGGGGCCCTGGCATGGGGTCGACCGCCCGACACCCACCAGCCTGCCTCGGTGGGGGACACGCACCGCCCGCTCTGACCGCCGTCGCGTGGTGTTTGCTAGAACTCGTCCTAATATGGGCCCACGGCAGGCCTCTTAGGCCACTAGTTCGCTAGTTTAGAGGAGGATGTAAAACTGAAGACAGAGAGGATGACATTCGGGACCCGTTGCCAGTGACTCCTCATCGAGCCTGCACCGTGTGGTGTCGTTATTAGCACTAAAACGCGGTGAGCTCACGGCAGAAGCGCCCGTGTTCCACTGTGAGCCAGGAACACCGGTCAGAGCCAGGTGATTCTGGGGTGCGGACGAAGGAGAGAGCCGTCTATGCATACTCCCCTCGCAAGGCCGGGCAGGTCCACCTTGCAGGGAAGCTGTCGTCCCCCCCAGCTGCTCTTTTTTTTTTTTTTTTTGGAGACAGAGTCTCACTCTGTTGCCCAGGCTAGAGTGAGTGCCGTGGCGTCAGCCTAGCTCACAGCAACCTCAAACTCCTGGGCTCAAGCGATCCTCCTGCCTCAGCCTCCCGAGTAGCTGGGACTACAGGCATGCGCCACCATGCCCGGCTAATTTTTTCTATATATATTAGTTGGCCGATTAATTTCTTCCTATTTATAGCAGAGACGGGGTCTCGCTCTTGCTCAGGCTGGTCTCGAACTCCTGACCTAGAGCGATCCGCCCGCCTCGGCCTCCCAGAGTGCTAGGACGACAGGCGTGGGCCACCGCGCCCGGCTACCCCTGCTGCTCTTGACACTGTGAAGGGAACTCGTTTTTCCATCATAAGAGCCAGAAAAGCACTGGGGGGGTGGGGGGGAGGCCGAGGTTTCCTGCAGCGAGGCCGCCCTCCTGTGCTCCCTGGGGCCGTGCCCAGCCTCCCGGGCGAGGTTCCGTGGAACACGACGGGCGTCAGCGGTCTGTTCCTGTCTCCCTCGCCAGGTCATGTTCACCGAGGAGGACGTCAAGTTCTACCTGGCTGAGCTAGCCCTGGCCCTCGACCATCTCCACGGGCTGGGCATCATCTACAGGGACCTGAAACCCGAGAAGTAAGTGAGGAGACCGAGGGTGCGAGCGCCACGCCCCCTGGGCCTGTGTTCTTTGTGGGCCCACGTTGGCAGCGTAGCTGGGGAGATGCTCCTGCCGGCAGGTACCGCCCAGGAAACCAAGGACAGGGAGCAGGTGCCACTTCCCGGCCCCGTGCAGGAAGGTCCCAGAAGAGTTCCCAACTGGTGGTCAGGAGAAGCTTGGAGTGAGGCGGCCGGGTTCCTGTCTTTGGGCACAGGAGGCTGGAGCCCGGGTCTCCAAGATCCATGCCCCGCCCTCCCTGCCAGCCAGGGCCGTCTCAGACATGGCCACCTGCCAGCTAGTTTCTGCCTCCCCCTCCCGGCTCTGCTCTGCTGTCCTCCAGACCTGGGAAGCCCTTCCAGTGACTTCGACAAGCCCCCAAAGCGTGGCCAATGAACCTCTGCTTACTTAACCACTTGGCTCATTTCCAGGTGACCAGATTAGCTTTCCCAAGAATTTATCTAAACGACAACGGCTTCAGAATCCCCAGGCTCAGATTGCACTGAGATTTGTGTATCTGTGGCAGTGATAATCCGCAGTGTTATTATTTCTAGGATATTCAGCTAATCTAGTCTAAATTAAAGCACATAAAGTCCCTCCAAAATAATAGTGTTCCCATCTGAGGTGTTGTGGGTTTTTTTTTTACATCTTCTGTGCAGAGCTGACAAGTTAACTAGGAGTGATCCACCCACTTAGAAAAGGAGAGATCTGGCACATGGTGTTTTAGATTCAATTGACTGACCCAGGCAGTATCTCCAAGGTGAAGTAGGGGGGCCTGTACCTGCCCCCAGACAAGGTGTCACCTGGTGGGACCAACCAGCTATGTGTACATGGTGGCAATCCCAGCCCATGAGCTAAGACCGAGGGCTGCAGGCTCAAGAGATGATTCCAGCTCCTGCCTCCCATCCCCACACTCCCACCTACGTGGGGCTGAGAAAAGGACAAGCTCTGCCCTAAAGCCAGCTTATTGGACGTGGCCGTCATTTATGGGAAACATCGAGGTTTGCCCAGAAACCAGGTCACACCATGTTCACGTGGGATGTAAACTGCATTTGCCTGTGCTTGTAACTCTAGGCTCTGACTGAGCTACTAGTCAGTGGCTGCCATGTCACTAGCTGCACCTGTGCACACATTTGCAAATACAACGTGAGCATCTTTCCTCTGAAAATCAGAAATCTGAAAAGCTCCAAAATTTAAAAACTTTTTCAACCCCGATATGACACCATGAGTGGAAAATTCCCCATGTAAGTGCTTAAACACTAACCTTGCTTAATACACAAAATTATTATTATTATTATAATTATTTTTGAGACAGTCTTGCTTTGTTGCCCAGGCTAGAGTGAGTGCCGTGGCGTCAGCCTAGCTCACAGCAACCTAACACTCCTGGGCTCAAGCGATCCTTCTGCCTCAGCCTCCCAAGTAGCTGGGACTACAGGCATGCACCACCATGCCCGGCTAATTTTTTTCTATATATATTAGTTGGCCAATTAATTTCTTTCTATTTATAGTAGAGACGGGGTCTCGCTTTTGCTCAGACTGGTTTCAAACTCCCGACCTCGAGCAATCCGCCCGCCTCGGCCTCCCAGAGTGCTAGGATTACAGGCGTGAGCCACCACGCCCGGCCAATGCACAAAATTATTAAAAATATTGTGTAAAACTACCTTCAGGCTATGTGCATAAGATAAGGCGTATGTGAAACACACATGCATTTTGTGTTTAGACCTGTGTCCCCTTCCCAAGATATCTCACTTTTATATATGTAGATCTTTCAAAATCTGAAATAGCCAAAATCCAAGACACTTCTTCCTGTCCCAAGCCTTTCGGCAACCTGTGCTTGTAGACAGGCTTTACCCAAGTGACCCCGCGGGGAGCAGCGTTGTATCAGCAGACGGGACTGACCCGCCCACGGTGCTCTGAGCTCTGGGCGTCCCCTTTCACCCGTCCCTGATCTGGAGGTGATTACGGGAGCCTGGCCTGTCACCTTGGGTCCCTGCAAAGGTCACCCCAGGAGTCAACCGTGTGTCAATTGCCCTCTGACTCCCGTCGGCGCTTTCCTCGCTGTAAACCCCTGCGCTGACGGCGCCGCTGACCCCCGGCTGCGCTTGTCGGTCCTCTCGGGTTCCGAGCTCACCCTGAGCATCCGTTAGGCAGCGAGCGCCGGTTCCCCGCTTTGTAAAGGTCAAAGTGATCCTGACAGCTAAAAATAGTAATGTTTAACTGCAGGGTTGAAGAAAAAGGTTTTGTTGTCTAATTAGAAATTGCTAGGGAATTAATCTTGAAAGTCGCTTAGTTCCGGGCAGAGATAAGAGTATCAGAAAGGCACAGATTAAACCCATCTGCCTCTTTAATTATAAATCGTCTTAATTAGATGCTATAACCTATTCTTTCCCATCTCCATAAAATGGTAGGGTTTTTTTAGTCCGTGGCAGATTTTTAAAAATTGTAAAATACGCAGTGCATAAAACTTACCATTTTAACCATGTTTAAGTGGAATTGAGTGCAGCCATTACCACCATCCATCTCCAAAGCTTTTCATCTTGCAAAGCTGAAGCTCTGTCCACGTTGAACACTAACCCTTCCCGTGCCCAGCCCCTGGCCCCGCCGTCCTGCTGGCTGTCTCCACGCACTGGGCCCCTCTAGGCACCCCCCACGGAATCGTGGAGTGTGGGTGCCTGGTGACGGGCTTACTGCACCGACGTCCCCCAGGTTCTCCGTGCTGTCCTGTGTGCCAGCCTTTCCTTCCTTTTTCAGACGTTTCAAAGGTGTCCCATACTAATCCTCCAAGCCTTGCTTCCGTCTCTGTCCAGCCTGGTCTCTTCAGGGCTCTGGGGTCTGGTGGACTAGGATTTAATGACAGCCAAAAAAGAAATGGGCAGGTTTAGGGTCACAGGGGCCCCAGATGTTGCAGCCCAGACTCCAGCCCGAAGTTCTCGGACATGGGGCTTCCCCTGCACCTAGCCCTCCCAGGTGCCCATCCCTCCTCTGTGGGGGGCAGTTGGGACCAGCGAAGCCAGCTGTCACGCTGACACAGGGAAGGAAATGGACCTGGGGGCTGCAGGGGTCCCAGCCGGGACCAGGACTTAGCACAGGGTGAACCCGCCGGGCCCCGAGAGCTCCTCGGTGCTGAGGCCCATGCTGGTCCCAGGCTGCCCCGGAGGCTGGGGTCCGTCCCGAGAGCCAGGCTGGGCTCAGGGAGGGGATCTGGGGAGAGAAAGGGGGTCTGTGCGCATTGAGCGCTTCCTGGGTACGGGACATTTCCTCCGAGGGGCTCTGGGTCTCCGCGGGCCGGGCCAATCCCGGACCTTCCCTGTCCTGTGCATCTCTCGGGACAGTCTGGGTCTCCGCGGGCCGGGCCAATCCCGGACCTTCCCTGTCCTGTGCCTCTCTCAGGACAGTCTGGAGGGTTCCCAGACCCTCCCTGGGGACTCGGCAAGGTCAAAGGTGGCAGTCTCCCCCCCACCCCACCCCCACCCCCGCACAGGAGGATGCAGGTGCCCCTCGCCTCCCAGACACGTGCCCCTGCACCCCCTGACCTGGGGAGGCCGTGGAGTTGGGGGGGCAGCAACCCAAGGCCCCCCCCCACAGACAGCAGGTGGTCCCGGGCCCGGCCCCACCTGGAGCCGCCCTCCGAAGGGGCGCGCCAGTCCACGGCGGCGTCTCCCCCTGCAGCGTCTCTTCCTCCCTGTCTTTCAGCATCCTCCTGGACGAAGAGGGACACATCAAGATCACAGGTTTGTGAGGGCGCCGTCTCCCGGGACTTCCTCTCGGCCTGGGGGGTCGGGGACCACCCCCAGCCGGAGCCCGCTCAGCATGCCCACCTCTGCCAGGCGCTCGTCCCGGCCCGCTGCCTGTTCTGTAGTTGTGTGCGGGGACACCCAGCACCGTGGGCGCGCCCCAGGCGGTGCCCTGTCCCCTCCCCCTCATGCTCTGTCCCCTCCCCCGGCCACGCCCTATCTGGGTTCCCCCAAGTGTTTAGCCGAAACCTCCATGCCCAGGCTGACCGTGGGCGGACATCCAGGATCTTGAGCACGTCCCACACCGTGGTCTCCCTCAGCCATGGCATTCCGTGCACCATGGTGTTCGTGCACCATGAAGTTTCGTGCACAGTGACGGTAGCTGCTCGTCGCCCCCTGTTTACATCTGAAACCCCGGCAGCCGCCAGCAGGCTCAGTCAAATTGGAAACACCCCTCTGATCACACACCCCCCCACTGTGCCAGCGCCCTGTTGCTTCTGTAGCCAAATACCAGCCCTCCAGGGCTCAGAGCCACACAAATGCACCCTCTTGTAGCTCTGGAGGCCGCACAGCCAAAGTAAGTGTCACAGGGCTGAGCCAAGGCGTCACTGGCTGGGAGCCCTTCTGGAGCCTCTGGGAGGGTCCCTGTCCTGGCTTTTGCAGCTTTTAGAAGTGGCGCATGCCTGAGCCCCTGTGGCGTGGCTGGAGCCAGCGGGCAGCGTCTCCAGATGCCCCCCGGCCACTGTCCCCCCCAACACAAGGACCCTTGTGATGAGGTCGGGCCCACCCGGAAATCCAGCAGAGAACCCCCATGTCAAGACCCCAGCTTGATCACATCCACAGTCCCTTGTGCTGTGTGAGGTGGCCCAGCCGCAGGTCTGGGGTTAGGACGGGGACGTCTCCGGGCACAGCCGTTCTACCCGCTGCTGCCCTGGGCCTGAGAGCCCCACACTCAGCCACCCGCCTCCGCCCGCCACCCTCGGCCCTGAGCCCTCACTGTTCCGGCTCTGGAGCCGCTTCCCTGAGGAGCCCTTCCTGGCTCTGGGCCCTGGTGGACACCTGTCCCTCCTCCCGAGCTGGCTCGCCGGCTGCCCCAGGCCCCTACCCGCCTCCTCTCCACGCTGGCATTGCCAGGGCAGGGTCACCGAGTTCCATCTGCCCCGGAGCAGGTGTCACCCCACCTCCACCTGGTCCTCGGAGGTTACCAAGGACACGGGTCCTGGATGTTGTCACGAGGCACTCCCGAATTTGCAGACTCACGGGGCTCCGTCATACCTGTGGAGCTTGACTTGCGGGTGTTGGGCGGGTCACGTTGGCACCCTAGCGGGCTCTGCGGCCCTCCCTGGACAGGGATGTCAGTGGCCCACCGTGCAGGAGCCCCGTGGGCGTCCTGAACATACCAGACGCTGAGGAGCCGCCTGTGCCGTGTTTACGTTTAGATTTCGGGCTGAGCAAGGAGGCCATCGACCACGACAAGAGGGCGTACTCCTTCTGCGGGACCATCGAGTACATGGCGCCGGAGGTGGTGAACCGGCGCGGGCACACGCAGAGCGCGGACTGGTGGTCCTTCGGCGTGCTCATGGTAAGGCCGTCCTTCTGGTGGCGCCAGTGCAGTGGTCGCTGTCCCCCAGGTGGCCCCCGCGCCCACGTCGGCTCAGAGGTCGGGGACCAGAGGAGGAAGCGGAGCATGAAACGTGCACACCAGCCCCTGAGCATCACAGGGAGTCCCGGCCAGGCGTCCCCAGCCACCTCTGTCTCTCCCAAAATCCCACCATTGGTACGTGCACGTACAAATCCTCTGTAGACGTGACGCTCTATAACAGGCGTCCTCAAGCTACGGCCCGCGGGCCACATACGGGCCCCCTAGCACATTTATCCAGCCCTCCGGGTGTTTTTGCCGACTCACCCCAGGCCCACAGTGTGCTCTCTCCAATGGTCGGAGGGACAGTGAACTGGCCCCCCTGTTTAAAACGTTTGAGGACCCTGCTCTATAGGTTTAGCGTGAGGGTTTTAAGGGATGCAGTGATTTTCATATTAATTTTTTTTTTAATTTCAAACGTGAAATCCTTGCACTTAGTTGTGAAATTCAGCATGAACCGAAATATACATGGAGTCGAACGTTTCTGCGTCGGCACCCAGGAACTCGAATGTCTTTGTGTCATGTCTGCACAGACACTAGGCAGGGGTGTCCTGTGGCCATAAAATCTATTCCATCATATAAGACATATCCTTAACATTTTTCTGGTCCAAGTCATTGAAAATTAAAGAAATAGAAGGAGAAACTGAAAGGAAAAAGAAAGAGACTCAAAAATATGTACAGGCCGGGCGCGGTGGCTCACGCCTGTAATCCTAGCACTCTGGGAGGCAGAGGCGGGCTGATTGCTCGAGGTCAGGAGTTCGAAACCAGCCTGAACAAGAGCGAGACCCGTCTCTACCATAAATAGAAAGAAATTAATTGGCCAAGTAATATATATAGAAAAAATTAGCTGGGCATGGTGGCGCATGCCTGTAGTCCCAGCTACTCGGGAGGCTGAGGCAGCAGGATTGCTTGAGTCCAGGAGTTTGAGGTTGCTGTGAGCTAGGCTGATGCCACAGCACTCTAGCCCAGGCAATAGAGTAGGACTCTGTCTCAAAAAAAAAAAAAAAAAAACACGTACAAAGGGAAAGATTGGGAGATCCTGAGATGGAGAGAGGAGAGGTGGGAGGGAACGGGGGAGGCCTGTCCCCAGCTGGTCTCCCCCTCCCAGCTGCGTGCAGGCCCCTCTGCCACCTGCCCCTCGCCTTAGAGAGAAGTGTCACTTCTGGAGGCCTTGCCCGGTTCTCCCAGCAGAGTGGGGGGCTCTGTCTTTGGCGTCTGCCTTGGCACTCTTGGTGCTGTTCTGACATCGACCATCTTTTATTGTGAGTATTCGTCTCTGCCAGCGTCCCCCGGCACCTTGAAGTCCTTGAAGCACCACGTCACCCTCACCCCAGACCCCCAGTACGGAGAGCAGCACGTGCCCAGCCAGGTCTGCGCCCCGGGGGACCAGCGCGGGCGTGCACACCCTGGCGCGAGCACGGAGACGTGCCGACTCAGACCCAGCACCCTGCCGGCCTGCGCCGCCCTGGGCCCCACCCTCCTGGTCCCCAGGGTGTGACCTGGAGAGGGTGGCTGCTGCGGCTCTGGCCAGCGTCGTTGACTCACGCCACCTTGCCCGCCCTCGTGTGTCACCGGCCACAGGACGTCTCTCGCTGAATTGCTCACGTGTTCGCTGGAGCTGCCCGGTCCTTCCAGAGCCTCGGGACGTCTGGGAAGAGCCGGGCCGTGGTCTGCGGATTCCAGAGCTGCTGTGACACCCCCGGCATGAAGCAGGGGTGGCTGTCACCACGGCGACCACAGATTACATCTGCACGGCACTGCAGAGTTCACAGGGCATGCTCACGTCTGGTCTGGGCCAGAAGACACGCAAGTTAGGCGGGAAGGACTGCCTTTTCCTGTGTGCAGAAACGAAGCCTCTGGCTCCGAGCACCTAAGGGGCGGGTCCGAGATCCCCTGATCGTTCCAGGAGCACGTTCTCAGTCCTGCCCGTCAGACCCTCCCAGCCCCCACGGCAGGTGTCCTGCCGATTGTGACCTCGTGCTTTTGGCACCTCTGCGGGCCACGTCGGAAGTTATTTCCGGACTCTCATTTGCAATCAGGAGCTGGGCCTCGTGGGGCTTTGAGGTGTCCTCTTTCCTGCGCCTCTGCGGGATCAGTGTGGAGCTCCTGCCCTTGCGAGGTGCCCTGGCTGGCTTTGTGAACGGAGCTGAGCCCCGGAGACAGCAGGTGGGGGAGGGGTACTCACGGTGTCCGTCCTCTGCCATGGACACGTGCTTGGACCCCTCCACCGGGGAGGAGCCTCCTGGAGTCTGGCCATGCGAAAGTGCCCTCTGCGGACCACAAAGAAATGAAAACACATCGCCGTCCTTAAATAAGACCGGATGTCTGAAGTTAGAAACTTGGAACCAGAAAAGAACTTGGAGCCCTCTGCTCGGCTCTGCAGTGACGGCGCAGTACCAGCAGCCTGCACGCCGCTGCAGTCGGCTTTGGAGGGACGTTTGGGTTGAGTTTTGCGACATTGGAAGCATCTCTTGAGTGCTCAGGTTTTGTAAGACCACCCTAGGGCCTTCCCTCGCTTCTTAACCCCTGGCACTGGGTGTTCTGGACACTGCAGCCCCTGCGGAGTGTCCCTGTCACCCCGCTCTGCTGATGTCAGAGCTCAGCCCCTCCCCCGCGGGCCGGCTCCCTAGGACGCTGTGAAGAGCAGCGCCCGCCCCCAGCTCCGCTTTGAGGCTTAGATGTGTTTACACAGTGCGTGGCACGTAGTAGTGTCAATGAAAAAGACGCCAGACTCTATAAAACAATTTTAAAGAGATTTACTCTGAGCCAAATTTGAGGACCATGACCCAGAGCCACTGGCCAAGAGGCCTTGAGCTAGTGGACTCGCTGTGGCTGGGTGACAGTTTGGTTTTTATACGTTTCAGGGAGGCAGGTGTTACGGGCAAAGTCATCAATCAATACGTGGGAGGCATACCTTGGTTTGGCCCCAAAAGGTGGGACATCTCGAAGGGGGGCTTACAGGTTATAGGTGGGTTTAAAGATTCTTTGACTTGTAATTGGTTGAAGACAGGAAGCTTGGTCTAAAGGCTTGGAATGTTTTAGCATAAGGAGCTGTTCTCAGAGACGAGCCACTGGACATAGATTTGTTGTGCAAATTGAGGACCTGCAGGTGTGTCTTGCACACCCTTAGGCCTGCTAATGGGTTACAAAGGATGTCCCCAAGAAGGGAGGAGGCATGATGAGGCAAGTCTGACCTCCCTCCTCCTGGCAGGCAATTTAGTTTTGGGATATTCCTTTGGCCACGAGGGGGTCCATTCAGTCAGCCCGTGGAGGGTGAGCCTTAAAATTTTATTTTAGTTCACAGAACCAAATAGGAAAAGAGCTCCCTTTGCTAATATAATTCATTTTATGAGATAGTTTAATGTGTATAATCAGCTTAAAAACGTTCATCCCATTTTATCAGATGAATAGCTCATCTGCTAGTCAGAGCATTCAAGCCTTTCAACTTAATTGTGTTTGTCTCTCTTTAAACCCTCATCTGGACTCTCTTCCTCTTGCTTGCTGTTGCTTACATGCTTACCCACCGCCCGCAGCGGCCGGCCCTGTGCACCCTCACTCACTCAGGGCCCGGCTGGGCGGAAATTTCAACATGATAGAGCAGGCTTCAAACATCTGAACTGGCAGAAAAATTTTAATTTCCTTTAAAACTCTGTTTTCAGAAAGCAGACCAGTGATATTAATAAAGACTTACACATATTCATTTCATTAAGCTTGTAATTTCACTCCTGGTAGTCTATCACAGGGTAATTTCCAAATACTAGGCAAGCTTTTATGTACAGTTCAGTGATACTTGTAATAGCAGAAAAAGGGAACCAGTGTGCAAGTGTACAATAACAGGTATACTGTATCTTCTGGCTACTTTATAGCTCCATATAAAGTGATATCTTAAAGCTTTCATATAAGCATTGAAAGTCTTATATTATTCTGCAAAAAAAATAAAACCCTAGTATGCAAAGCCTTATCTGTGTTTTTAAAACAAAACAAAACAGCACGAACAAAGTACTGGAAGGAACTATCGGATGGTAGTTGTGGATATTTTTGGACAACGGGATTATGCGTGATTATCTTGGTCTTTCCATTTTTGCGTGTTTCCCAAGGTTTTCACAATGCGTAGGGAAAATACCAGAAGGTAAATCTGAATGGGGCAGAGCCACGCGCCTCGAAAAACCCGCCGAGGGCAAAGTGAGTGAGGCTGTGAGCGCCTGTGCTGAGGCCGCCTTCTCATGGCTTGAGCTGACCTTAAAGACACGGGGTGGGGTTGAGGCCTCAGCACATTTCCGTTAGATTCAGGATCTTGCTTTTATGATAAAGGTTTGTCGTTGCTGCTGCCCTGGCTTCTTTCGAGAGAAGTGGTCAGGCGTGCACCTTGCTCTGATAAGGCCAGCGGATTCCGGCACCTGCTTCCAGAGCCCACGTGGTCGGCACTGTCTGTGCCTAGGAGAGGCGGGGCCAGAATGAAATCCCTGCCCAGAAACGGCTGCCTGCCTCGGCCCTCTTCCGCCAGGTCCATCCTGGCAAACACCCAGTGACTATGCCATGGCAGTGTGGGGCGTGCGGCAGTGGGGCGGCCCGCACCTGCGAGACTGCTGCTGCCATGTTGTCCGTAGCAGGTGTCGGGCACGGGCTGTTAGCGTGTGCCGTTATGTCACGCTGGGAGCTCTGCCCTGCACGGCCTGGCACATGAGTGTCCAGTATGAGCACCCTGTCCTCTTCCTCTTCCTTCTCCTCCTCTACCTCCTCCTCCTTCTCCTCCTCATCCTCTACCTCCTCCTCCTCCTCCTCTACTTCCTCCTCCTCCTTCTCCTCCTCATCTTCTATCTCCTCCTCCTCCTCCTCTACCTTCTTCTTTTCCCCCTCCTCTTCCTCCTCTTCCTTCTCCTCCTCCTCTTCCTCCTCTTCCTTCTCTTCCTCCTCTTCCTCCTCCTCTATCTCCTCCTCCTCCTCTACCTCCTCCTTCTCCTCCTCCTCCTCTACCTCCTCTTCCTTCTCTTCCTCCTCTTCCTTCTCTTCCTCCTCTTCCTCCTCCTCTATCTCCTCCTCCTTCTCCTCCTCCTCTTTCTCCCCCTCCTCCTCTTCTATCTCCTCCTCCTCCTCTATCTCCTCCTCCTCCTCCTCTACCTTCTCCTTTTCCTCCTCCTCTACCTCCTCCTCCTTCTCCTCCTCCTCTTCCTCCTCTTCCTTCTCTTCCTCCTCTTCCTCCTCCTCTATCTCCTCCTCCTCCTCTACCTCCTCCTCCTTCTCTTCCTCCTCCTCCTCTATCTCCTCCTCCTCCTTCTCCTCTTCCTTCTCCTCTTCCTTCTCCTCCTCCTTCTCCTCCTCCTCCTCCTTCTCCTCCTCCTTCTCCTCGTCTTTCTCCTCCTCCTCCTCTCCTCCTTCTCCTCCTCCTCCTCTTCCTCTACCTCTTCCTCCTCTTCCTACTCCTCCTCTACCTCCTCCTCCTCCTTCTCCTCCTCCTCTTCCTCCTCTTCCTCCTCTTCCTCTACCTCCTCCTCGTCCTCCTCCTCCTCCTCCTTCTGGCCTCCACAGCAGCCACCAGGGCAGGACAGGGCCCTAAACCACACATAAGGTGTATTCGCCCAAACTGTCCCCCAGCCCAGCACCCCACTCTCCTCCTTTCCTCCACTGTCCTTAGACCCCCTCACCTGCTCATAGTTTAACTACTGACCATGATCATCGCTCGCTGGCCCCACCCACGGAAACGTGAGCCCTGCCAGGCGGTTTTAGCACCGACGTGCGCCGAGCACGCAGGCCACCCTGCACTTGCCGATAGAGGTTTTGAGTGGAAGTCGGATTAGGGGTGTGTGCGGGGCCCCCCCGGTGCTCTGCTGTGAAGTCGGGGCCGTCTGAACAAACGCACCCCCTGCTTTTGTTGCTCTGCAGTTCGAAATGCTCACGGGGTCCCTGCCGTTCCAGGGGAAGGACCGGAAGGAGACCATGGCCCTCATCCTCAAGTGAGTAGAGGGGAGACGCCCCGAGGCTGGGCTGTGCAGTGGGCGGCAGCCGTGGGGGCCACGGGCAGGTCTCCGTTTCCGTGACGACGGCGGGTGGGGTGCGCGGTGCAGTCCCTCCCCCACTTCCTCCGCAGACAGTTTCCATCGGTAAAATCATCCAGGACGCCCGGCGGCTGGGTTTCCAGACGTGATGGTGGGCGGCCTTCCGGAAGCACCAGGACTCGGGGACGCTCCAGGGAGGGAACACAGGAGCAGATCCCTCCTCCTCTGCCTGTCACCCCCATCCCTGTAGCGTCCGGGCCCTTCTGGCTCACGTTGGCAGGAAGTAGCGTCATTTTGCCCAAGCGACTGAGCACAAACCGTGTTTCTGCTTAACCCTTATGAAGAATCACTTGCCAAGCAAATGGATTTGCTCTCAGAGCCGTAGAGGGAAGTCTGGCCCCCTGCCCTCTCGTGTGGCATCCCAAACGTGAGCAGGTGCCGCCGAACACGGCCGCTTGAGACAGGCAAGGAGGGAGCGGGCGGAAGGAGGACAGGACCCGGGAGCAGGGGACCCCGAATCAGTCCCTCCCTGCTAAGCAAGCGACCGGAATTACAGCCGCTGGAGGGAAAAGTCTTAAAGATGTTTGCCCTCGTGGCCGGCTCTGCAAACTTTGCAAGTAGACACGTGCCTTTCGTAAAATCGAGAAGCACCTCAGACACCGCAGGTTGAGTTTCGTGAGTTATTTAACCACTTCGGTACCATGCTCACTGGCCGCAAAACCTCGCCCACAGCCGCACTCAGTCCACACGGTGGTCTGTGCTGTGCATTGACGACGCGTCCGTTTTGCTCTTGTGTGGTGAGGAAAGCTTGAAAGCACTGAGAGCTTGTTCTACTTTACAGGCAGCTTTAGGAAAATAACTATAATAACTCCTACTAAGGACTTGTTAAAAGGTCACAGATTCGTAGCAACTTGTTAGCTGAACGTACACACTGCAACTGCAGAGAGAAAAGCAAAAGCTTTTGGCTGTCGGCTATAGTCGACGCTCGCGTTCATCTGTGGCTGTCGACTACAGTCGACGCTGGTACTGAAGTGGCTAATAGGTCATTATGTAAATGGGAGAAGAGAGATGCCTGAAGGTGAGGGCCGTTTTGCAAAGCTGGGCTGTTGTCCTTCCATGTAATCAGCCTTGTGCTCCATCAGGTGACCTCGAATAGCAGACACCTGTGGCCACAGCCCCCGTCTCTGTGGCGATGACCTCTGTCTGATCTTTGAAAGGGAGAACGAGGTCTTAACTTTCTCTAACGCTGGAATAATCCCCTCGGCAAGTCACAGGTGTGGCCTTGGGCCTGTCACTTGGGAGGGACAGCACCGAGCTCTGGCCCTGGGCTTCTCGGTGTGGTCCGAGGACCGTGGGCGCCCTGAGCCCATCCAGGCACTTGCAGGGCCTCCCTTCCCGGCTGTCCTGACGGGGCCAGGCCAGGCTGAAGGCAGAGCCCCCCTGCCCCTGCGGAGCCAGACAGAGACCCACCAGCCGCAAAGCTACGCCAATAAGGGCTTTTTTTCAGTTTTGGAAAACATAGATGATTTCCATTAGCAATGTTATGTATGTTAACGGTGCTGTTATTATTTTTAATGACTTTATTCTTAAACAATAAATCATTTTCATTAATAATAAAAGTATTTCATTAAAATAAATTATTACATGTCAATTGTAAAAATTTCCCTGTTTTAATTCCGAATATCAGTCCTGAGACCAAATGTTCGTGCGCTGATGCCCTGGGTGACTCTGGGGTCTTTTGGTGCTGGCTGAGAAGGACCTATTTACGGCTCCTCTTTGTCATCCTAGAGCAGGCGTCCTCACGGGCCACAGACGGGCCACCTAGCACATTTACCCGGCCCTCTGGGTGTTTTTGCCGCCACTGCCCGTCCTGCTTAGCAGCCGACACGTCCCAGGCCCACAGTGCGCACTCTCCAACGGTCTGAGGGACAGTGAACTGGCCCCCTGTTTAAAAAGTTTGAGGACCCCTGTCCTAGAGCATGACCCTAAACTGCGATTCTGTGTTTCAGAGCCAAGCTGGGGATGCCCCAGTTCCTCAGCATGGAGGCGCAGGGCCTGCTGCGAGCCCTCTTCAAGCGGAACCCCTGCAACCGGCTGGGTGAGTGTCCCGTGACACCCCTCCCCCTGCGGGGACACTGAAGCAGGGGCTGGGTGAGTGTCCCGTGACACCCCTGCCCCCGAGGGGACACTGAAGCAGGGCCACCTCCTGCTCCAGGCAGCTCTCGCCGAGCTGCACCTTTACCAGGGTCTGAAAATAGCCTTACGTGGAGGTCAAAATATTAATACTGTCACAAACAGTCCAAGCTCCGAGGACACAGGGTCTCGTCGTGATTTCCGAAACGCAGAGTCCCTGCCTGTCAGTGCTGATTAACCAAGCGCCTGTTCGTTTCCTTTGTGTGTGTGAGACAATGTGTGCAGGATTCTCTGAGACGGTTTGGAAGGTCTGAGGACTGGCTCTGGGACATCCAAGAGCTGGTCTGTAACTACTGTTCTTTTAACTCTATAACCTCAGAGACAGAAGGCACATGATTAAGGAAGGGAAGGCGAATGTTAAATCAGGAAATATTTCATGTGGAAAGCACTGAGACTCTCCTGTCTGCTCACCTCAACCCTGGAGGAAGACCAGACCCTTTTAGGGGCTTCCCTGTGTCAGCCTTCGTTTTGGGGAACTTGGCGTTCATTTGTGCTCCTTCGGTCATTAAAAATGAAGCTAGGGGCCGGGCGCGGTGGCTCACGCCTGTAATCCTAGCACTCTGGGAGGCCGAGGCGGGCGGATTGCTCGAGGTCAGGAGTTCGAAACCAGCCTGAGGCAAGAGCGAGACCTCGTCTCTACTATAAATAAAAAAGAAATTAATTGGCCAACTAATATACATAGAAAAAAATTAGCCGGGCATGGTGGTGCATGCCTGTAGTCCCAGCTACTCGGGAGGCTGAGGCAGGAGGATCACTTGAACCCAGGAGTCTGAGGTTGCTGTGAGCTATGCTGACGCCATGGCACTCACTCTAGCCTAGGCAACAAAGTGAGACTCTGTCTCAAAAAAAAAATAAAAATTAAAAAATTAAAAATGAAGCTAGTATCAAAAGTACCGTCCTACTCCACAGGAATATTTTCAGAATGTATGAGCTAATTTATGTGCAACTACTTTGTGATCTTAGGAAAAAGGGAGTTAAGGCGATTTTAAAAAATCAATATTGATGCATTTAAAATATCGAGTATGAGGCTGGGCGCGGTGGCTCACGCCTGTAATCCTAGCTCTCTGGGAGGCCGAGGCGGGCGGATTGCTCGAGGTCAGGAGTTCAAAACCAGCCTGAGCAAGAGTGAGACCTCGTCTCTACTATAAATAGAAAGAAATTAATTGGCCAACTGATATATATATGTAAAAAATTAGCTGGGCATGGTGGCACATGCCTGTAGTCCCAGCTACTCGGGAGGCTGAGGCAGGAGGATCGCTTGAGCCCAGGAGTTTGAGGTTGCTGTGAGCTAGGCTGACGCCACGGCACTCACTCTAGCCTGGGCAACAAAGTGAGACTCTGTCTCAAAAAAATAAATAAATAAATAAATAAATAAATAAATAAATAAAATATCGAGTATGAAATTCATGTTATGAATTATTATTGTATTCGGCTAATTAGACATATTTACTTATATTCAACTTCTAATCCAGATTTTATAATGTGTACAACTACTCCTTCCCACTGCTTCATTTTCAAAATGATTCTTTGCTTTATAGCGAGGTCCCCCTTAATTGCCTTTGGGTGGCGATTCTCTCAGGAGAAACGCACAGGCGGGGAGCCGGGGCGGCGGGAGCCAGGCAGGGCTTTCCTGGGGGAGAACCCAGGCGGAGAGACCCCGGGCAGCAGCCTGTCTCCCCAGGAGACATCGGGGGCATGGACAGGCAGAGGGACAGAAGCAGCTCGTTTCCTGTGTCTGGTGAACTTTTACACTTGCCAGACTTCACGCGTCTTGGAGTCAGATCTGTGTGCTTTGCTGCAGCACCGCGGCCGGCAGGGCAGCCGGAGGAGTCCAAGTGTCTGGGTTGCATGTTGTTTGTCTGACAGCGTGACGTGCTCCCTGGGAGAAGCGTGTGGAGGACGCACAGGTGACCCCAAAACAGCCTCCGTTCTCACCAGCCGGGCCCAGGACACTCACAGGCAAAGTCACAGCAGCGAAGGACAGTGGCGCATCTGAGGGTGCGCGTGGCTTCTGTGGTTGCCTCGCGCCTGCGCAGTGGGAAAGGCTGGAGGGGACACAGAAGGACCAGAGGGCCAAGCCTGGGAGTGCGGCACAGCCATGCACAGGCAGAGGCCCCTGGAGGGCGCAGTGAGGGGACGCCTCTGTCTCCGTTCTCGGAACAGTCGTCCTGGTGGCCGCGTGGTCGTGAATTAGGGACAGACCCGCGGGGCAGGTGGGCACACTCCAGGATGGAGGCCTGGGGCGGGGGCCTCGCCTTCTGTGTCTTACCTGTGCAGGGCCAGGGCCCTCCCGGGTGGAATCCTCTGTGGCTCCCAAAGGGTTTGCAGATCCAGGAATTTCGAAGTCTTGACCAAGAGAAAGGTGAGAAGGCTTCGAGGAAAGGGCCTCGGAAGCCCCCACAGTGCACCCTGTAAGTGTGACGGAGGCAGTGCCAGAGGCAGGTCCTGGGCACGTCCCCGCCCCCGCTGGGCTCAGCCCTGGGGGCGGCGAGAGGTGATGGACGTCCCGGGGGGAGGGGTGCTTCTTGCCAGCGGGCGTCACAGGGCTGGGCCCGTGGGTGCGTCGTGACTCGAGTGAGCGCCTCTTCTGATAGACGTCTATACCGCAGTCGTTTCTAGGAACGGTTGTAAAAGTATCTTGCTGTGCAAGCCGAGTTTATTCTCTCCCGGCTCCCCCGGAGGACAGGGAGAGTTCCGATGAGCATGAATGCATGGAGCCTGCATCCCGCTGGTTTCGCTGCCCCTGAGGCCGACAGCTCTTCCGCTCATCCCTCACGAGCATCTATAGCTGCTCCTGGAAACCGCTGGGATATTCTAGGACTCCCGGAGAACGCGAGGAAAAGGTTAGAAAGGAGTTCGATGTGCTGATGAACACAAAAATAGCGCAGCAAATAAACGCCCGTCAACCAGCCCCGGCGTGCTGTGTTCGGAGAACAGCTGCTGCCCACGGCGGGCGCGCTGGCAGGGTTCTCTGTGTCCCCGTTTCTCCTTTCCTGTGCAGAGCTGGTCTCCAAAAGGTGCGCTTTAGTGACTTCAAACACGCTCCATCCTGCTCCCCAGTCTCATCCCAGTTTGCGGTGGCGTTGCCAGACCCTCCTGCCACGAGCCAAGCCTGGGCAGCCTGCTCCAGGACAAGCGCTGGGAGCCGGTGGGATCCAAACAGCCCTGTTACCACAGAGGCACAAGTGGGCCGGGGCGTGTCGGGCAGCCGGCCGCGGTGCTGCGTGCGCCTGGGCCCGGCCTGCCCCGGCTCCCAACCAGCAGTGCTGCAAGTGGCACAGACGACTGCCAAGCAAAGGTTTTAAACTTCAAATGAACAAAGTTTCAGATTGGCAGCAAAAAAACTTTAAAAAAGTGACGTGCAGATGACCTGTACGTGATGAAGAAACAGAAAAGCAGACCTAGTATTTAAATCACCGATGGAAGTTGCCAGGGACGGTTACTAGGCACTGAAAGTGCACCCGTTAGGAGGCACCTGCCGTACGCGGCCAGCCCAGCTTAGTCTGCGTGTTCCCAGAAGAACTAGAGACGGGTTTTGCGTGACTCTAAAGCGATACCACCAACAACAAAAATTTAGACATTTCAAAGGAGTCCCAAAGCTATCTGTGGACACAAAGACACAATGAAAATATTTTTGGCACATGCACAAACCTTCTGGGAATGGCTCACTGAGATTTGAGAAGCCCATGATGAAGTGGACGGATGGATTGCCTCGTTGACAACGTAAAGTAGAAGGGCTGGGCATATCCGGTGCAGCGAGAGAATGAGCCCCATCCCGGGCACTGCACTACGTTTTAAAACTGTGCATCGGAAGTTCCAATTGGTTGCAAAATTACACCCTTAACCAAAGTGTAGAAATTTGGGATGTGCATCCAGAAAAACACTTTGAGTGATATCCCATCTGGAGATGGGCCACAGGTGATAAGGACAAACATAATCAGGTGGTGTTACTCCAGGGAGCAAACATGATTGCCTGAATCTACCGTTCCATGGAACTTTTTTTTTGAGACAGAGTCTCACTCTGTTGCCCGGGCTAGAGTGAGTGCCGTGGTATCAGCCTAGCTCACAGCAACCTCAGACTCCTGGACTCAAGCGATCCTCCTGCCTCAGCCTCCGGAGTAGCTGGGACTACAGTCACGCGCCACCATGCCCGGCAAATTTTTTTCTATATACTTTTAATTGGCCAATTAATTTCTTTCTATTTTTTAGTAGAGACAGGGTCTCGCTCTTGCTCAGGCTGGTTTTGAACTCCTGACCTTGAGCGATCCGCCCGCCTCAGCCTCCCAGAGTGCTAGGATGACAGGCGTGAGCCTCTGCGCCCAGTCGTTCCATGGAACTTTTAGTTCATGTCTACCTGGCTTTGGGGAACTCAGTGGCAAATCGCCAAGCCCAACTAACAGGAGAGAATTCTAGTCTTCTGCCCTGACCGTGCCTGTCCAGTACCTGTTCTCGCCGGTGCTCTGTGACCTTGGAGCACAGCCTGCTCCTAGAACAGAGTGAGACTCGTAGCGCTCTTGGTCCGGATCCCGTAGCGGGCCCGCGGTGATTCAGATATCAGCACACACACTTCCCGATCCTCCCCGCCCGAACTCCACTCTCTGCTGTTTGTCATATGTGTTGAGTTCAGATGAAAAGGGGGGGCCAAGGACAGCGTGGCCGACTTTACCACCTTTCAGGAGAGGATAAATAGGGCTGGAATCCGAAATAACACACCCATCTGCTCTGGGTAGGTTGATGCAGGCTTTAGAGAACTGAGTGCACAAGTTTTCCTTCTGTTTCTTGTTTTCCACCTTTATTTTTTATTATTTTATTTTTATTTTTTTTTTGAGACAGAGTCTCACTCTGTTGCCCAGGCTAGAGTGAGTGCCGTGGCGTCAGCCTAGCTCACAGCAACCTCAAACTCCTGGGCTCAAGCGATCCTCCTGCCTCAGCCTCCCGAGTAGCTAGGACTACAGGCATGCGCCACCATGCCCGGCTAATTGTTTCTATATATTTTTAGTTGGTCAATTAATTTCTTTCTATTTATAGTAGGGACAGGGTCTCGCTCTTGCTCAGGCTGGTTTCGAACTCCTGACCTCCAGCAATCCACCCGCCTCGGCTGTTTTCCATCTTTAAAACACCTATAAATTTTTAGTAAATTTACCAAAGCGTGCACAGGTGAGCCTGTTTGCTGAGGCCTCAAAACTCACACGTGCTGTGAAAATCTCACTGCAGCAGGAGGAAGAAGAGAAAGATAAAAATGTGTCCGTTCAGCGACCCAGAAAAGCCTGGCACACACTAACGAGGATTCTGTAGCTACACCGATGCCTGCGTTTCCTTTGCACCTCACCGTTTTAAATTCCTGCAGACCGCATTTGCACGTGAGGACTGAGAGTGAAACAGAACGGGGTACAAAATGTGAAGAAGTACAGCCCGCCGGTGGCCGTGCAGGGCGTGTGCCCAGGGCTCTGAAGCGCCTGCCCAAGCCACCCACCTGTTGAGGGCGCTTCTGGCCGTGCATCCGGCAGTCGCCCAACAACAGAGCCGGAGAGGCACAGAGCAAAGGCGAGCTTCCTCTTACCAATTCGTCGCGACCAGAGGACTCTCCGTCCGTCTGTCTGGAGCACCGCAGGAGGCTGCCCACGGACGGCCCGGGAGGGCTGCTCCGAAGCGTCGTCACGGCAGCATCTGAGCACCTGTCTCGGACCGTGCCAGGTGTGGGGGGTGCAGAGGCCTCCGGGTTTACAGGGAAACGAGGGAGACAGACTTGGAAATCCAGAGGGACCCCAGCGTGGGGGCTGAGGAGGAGGCTTCAGTGGAGTCTGGCAGAACCGGCCTCAAGGCCCGTTTCCGTGGTGCCGACCTCCGGTATGACCTTGAGACTTCAGCCTCTGTCCCGGTCCGTAGAGTGGGGGATAGTGCCTGCCGCCCCTGGGGCGTGGGCCGGTGGGATGCCCGTGTGCTGTCTGCCCCTCGTCCTCACGGCGAGAAATTCCCGAGCCTAAGGCTCCGCCTACTTCCTTCATCGGTGCATTTTCATGCCAAAGTACGGCAGTTACCCAAATCACCAGGGCTGAGAGTGGCGAAAGGGCCACCCGTGAGTTTGGTCAAATCAGTTCTTTCCAAGACGGCGGCCCGGCTGGGGGGAGGTGGCCCTGGGCCTGGTCCACCCAGGGACCCTTCCTGAGGCCAAGGCGGCTCCCACCCCCTTCTGTGGCGACTGCAGCGTCTCAGGACGACCTTGCACTGCCCTTCACACCCCGCTGCTCTCGGTTTCCCCTGCAGCCCAGCCGCCCTCCCTGGAACTGGGACTCGGTGGAGCGTGACCGGACGTGGACACAGGCTCTGGCTTGGGGCAGAGTCACAGCGGGGAGGTGGCATCAGAAAGGACCTCTGCTGGCAGAGCAGGGGGAGCCTGGGCCTCAGGGACAGCCGCCTCCCGGACAGGGGTCCCCAGCCACGGTCCTCAGCCTTCCCTCGGCCGAGCCCTGCCTCCTGACACAGCCACCCGTCCCCGACTGCCTACCCGAGAACACTGGGCCCCCTCAGGCCGCCCTGTCCTGGGAAAGCACTCCTGGGCCTTAGGGTTGCGTTTTCATTCTTGTTTCGAGATGAATAGACAGCTTTCAGAATAGTTTGAAGTTTACAGAAAATTTGAGCAGAACTGCAGCAAGCTTCCATTCACCCCAACCCCCACGATTTCCTCCGGTAGCAATGTCCTGGTGAATGTGGCACGCTTGTTACAATTGATGAAGCCGCGTTGACACGTTGCTACCAGCTGAAGCCATGGTAACATGGCTTCATGTTCCCTCTGTAGGGCGCCTGGAGGACTCTGGCAGGGGTGCTGACACACCCCTGTTGCAAAACCCTTGTCCCAACTCTCCCTGTGCTCTGCCTGCTCACCCCTGCCTCCCCGTCCCCGGGGTCTTAGGACCTTAATGTGAGCAGCAAAGCAAGGGAAGCCTAGGTAGAAATAACAGGCAAAGCAGTGTCATTTGTCTCGAGTCTCCAGGTAAAAACGGTCACCTGTGTTGAGCAGCCTCAGGTGTGGCTGGGCATGGACGGGAGTCCCTGGCTTTCCCCAGGACTCAGTCCCGTCTGAATTCCTCCCTGGCAGACCCCCACGGCAGCCTTGTGAGCACCCCCCCCACTTGCTGTGACACCTCCCTCCGGCCCTTCTGCATGCGGCAGCCTCCCGGGACGACCCGCCTGAGGCTGACACTCCTGGGCCTCCCCCTGGGGTGTCTGGCGTCCTCACACCTCGAGCAGGCAGCCTGGGTGGCCTGGCCCCCTCTTGTCTCTGCCACCTGTTGCCCAGCCCACCCGGGTGGGACCGGGCCCCTCCCTGTCCCAAGAGCGGTGCCCCCGAGCGAGAGGCCAGGGCAGGCCCCACCCCGCACACCGCTGTGCAGGAACCACCAGAGAGAACCGTGATCTTGGACCTGCTCTGACACGTAATCTCTGCTTTGTTGTTGTGACAGGTGCTGGCATTGACGGAGTGGAGGAGATTAAGCGTCACCCTTTCTTTGTCACCGTAGACTGGAATGTGAGTCCCGGCGTGCCCTGTCCCCAGCGGCTCACAGATGACGGGGAAGTGGGTGGGGGGATGGGGCAGCTGCGTGGCAACAGCCGCCCGAACTGCGCAGGTCACAGGTGGATGTGGCTCGTCACCTGCAGGCAGGGGGCTGTGGGACCCCTCCCACGGGCTGGCGGCGTGAGAGGCACAGGCTAGCGGTCCCCTCCTGCCCCGGGCCTGGCGTCCCCTAGAGAGGCAGCTGGAGCGGCCCCCGCAGCCCTGCCCAGCCTCCCCGAGGACGGAGCCCTGATGGTCGGTCCAGAGGATTCCCCTTGCAGCCGGGCGTGGGCGCCCGTCCAGGGCCCCGGGGAGCCGGCCCCGCGGGGACCCGCTAGCGCAGGCTGCAGGCGGGAGAGGGTGCGACGCTGCGTTTCGCTCTTCCGTCAGGCGGATGCCCAGGTAGGAGAGGTCACGTTAAAAAGAGATGCCAGGCCGTTAGACAATAAGCTAGCACTTCCGCCGAGGGGCTGTGCTGCCTGCTTTCCCAGTTCTCCAGCCAGGCCCCACGCGGTCTGAGAAGTCCCTGCGTCTCACCTGTCATGCGGCTGTGCGCGTCAGAGCCCGTTTCCGCCCCGCTGCCAGCCGGCCGTCGCGTCTGTCGAGAGCTGGGCTTCCTCACGGGTTGCCGCCGGCCTGTGTCATTCTGACGTCCCGGGACAAATGAGATAATTTAGGTTGACACCCGGCGAATTGGACCGGAGAGCCCGTTTTCTTTCCATCAACGCAGGCCTGAGTTGTCCCGGGTCGGGGTGGGGGAGTCGGGGTCAGAGCTGCTAGTAAAGCTCCTCGGACTCAACCCCCTAGGCGAGGTGCTGCTGCCGACTGGTTTTCCATTTAACCCCTCGTGTGGCAGTTTGCATTACGAGATGAGAGGCAAGATTTCGTTCTCCTACAACCTCACACCCATTCTTTGGTTTGGACACAGGGAAAGCAAAGTTGTTTGTGGTAGTAACACATTAGCCCTTTCCAAAATGCGTGTGCTGCTGCAGGAGGAAACCGACCGGGCTTTGAGGTTGCAACAAGCATCACGGAAGCCATCCAAAGGGCCAGAGTGACAGTCGTAAGCAACGCCCACCGTGGCCTGCACAGAACCCCCACTGCCTGCTGCCCGAGACCTGGATGAAACCGCAGCAACCTCAGGGGCAGGGTCACATAGCATGGCGGCCCCCAGCGGGTCATGTTCATAGACGTGGTCAGCACACGGGCCAGTGCCATGGGGGAGGCGGGGTCTACGTGGCAGTGCCCCTCTGCGCAGAGGGGCGCCCCGGCCCTCGGGCAGCTCTGGGTTCGCTCCAGCACGCAGCACCCCTGGTCACGTCAGGGCGCCCCGGGGAAACGCCAGGCTTGCAGCAGAGATTTGCAAAGAGCAAGGGGAAGCAGAGGCGTGCTTGCACCTGCAACCCCACAGGCCTGGGGTTGTTCACGTGACCCAAACCTGCTGGATGACCACCTGGACCTCGTGACCCAGTCGGAGGGCACCGAGGGTCACTTCCAGCACCAGGCGAGGCACGGAGTGGGCAGAGGAAGGAATCTGAGCCAGACGGGCCACGTGGCACCCCATCCTGGGCTGCAGGGACCAGTGCTGGGCTCCCTGATTTACCACCGAGTGCCACACGGGAGAAGAGCGGGCTGCTCTCAGCCCAGGGGGGCTCGTTCACGGGAGCCCCGGTGCCAGTCACAGATCTGGGTCTGCCCGACACGTCCGGTTCAGATTCTTTCTCTGGATGAGTAAACACGTGAGAGGCGGGGAGGCGACAGGCTGCAGGTGTGACCCTCCCCCTCGAGCCTCGGCCTTCGGGACGTTTGCACTCAAGCCTGTGACTTGAGGATGCAGCACCTGCCCCATCGGGGAAGGGTGTGGCCGGTGGAGGCCAGGCAGGGCCGCCAGCCTCGCCTGTGGCTCCCGGCGCCGCCGTGAAGCCGCCGTGTCTTGTCCCGTTGAGGTGGAGCAGAAACGAGGCAGGAAGGGAGCGGGGAGGAGGGAGGGACGGAAACGGCGACGCCAGGGCTTCCCAGCCTCGGCAGCGTGGACATTCGGGGACGCCGTGTGCGGGCTGTCCTGCCTGCACCCCCAGGCGCCCACGGCACTCACACTGATGGGATGTGACGATCGGCGCCGCCAGCGTGCCGAGCGCCCCAGGTGCACGGTGCCTCAGTGGAGCTGCACCTGGCTGAAGAGCTGTTTCATCTACCAGCCCCCGTGACGGGGCAGGTGTGGGTGGGATGCCCGCCCCTTCCGCGTGCCGCGTGCTCCCTGGGGCCATGCAGGGAGAGGCGGCCAGGGCTGGGGTGCAGCGGGGACCTGGGCCTGCACGTGTGGGCTCAGCTTTCCTGAGGCCGGCGTTTCGTGTGTCATTTTGTTTTCAGTGGAACTCTTGTGCGCCTGAATTCCTCCTCGTGATAAAGTAGGAGCCCGGCTCTGTGGCAGGTCCCCCCGCCCCCCGCCCATGCGTGCAGACGGGGAGGACGGGGCTCTGCCTCCAGCAGGACACCTTTGCTCAACAGCCCACTGGCAGGTGGGGAGGGCGGCGGGCTGCGCGGCTGGGCTCCGTGCGGGCTGGGGCTTAGCGGGGCCAAGCTCCCGGGCTGCTGAGACGTCCTCAGCAAGTGCAGCTGGGAGTTTATTCCCGCCCGAGGGTGCGCCACCACAGACAGCAGCGTCTTGCTATTTCTGGAAAGGGCTTGAAGAGTAACTCGATTCCTGATGCAAGCTGTTCACCCAGGGCAGGAAGCGACCGGATAATTGGGGGCTGAATTGAATCACGGTTTCTCCTCTGTCGGCTCCCAAGTGCACCCCGGCGTCCCTCCCTCCCACGGCTGTCCCCCATAACTCATGCCCAGCCCCAGTTACAGGGAGGGTCGGCGACCCCACCCTCGTCCCTGTCTGCCCCACTCACCCTTGGCCTTGGACTAGTCACTCTTCCTCTCCTAGCCTCAGCTTCCTCCTCTGATGAAGCCCAGCACCCCTGAGAGACGCAGAGCCGACTCGCACTCGGGTCGCCGTGTCGTTTCCCAGCCCTGCCCCCATCGGGGTCCCCACTCAAGGGCCGAGCTGCAGACCTGCTAAGCAGAAATGCCCAAGAAAGGGCCTGGGTGTTTTCGGCAGACACCTGGGGGACCCCCGGCCAGGCAGGATTAGGAAAACTTTGTGCTCAGGGGGTGCAGCAAGACCCCCCCGCCCGGCTTCCTTAAATAGAGTCAGCCCAGCAGAGTGGGCGGCGGCCCTGAGGATGGAAAGCAGCACGTGGGGTTTGGAAAGCGCCGTCAGGGAGGCAGCCCCAAGATGGGCGGGGTGCAGCTGCAACGTCCTGTGTCCTGTCGGAGGCCGTATGCGGGAACTAGGTTCCGCCTGGCCGCGGCTGTGGGAAGATGCAGGTGCTCCCATGGACCCTGAGCAGGGGGTCTGGGCGCCACTGCTGGGTTGACCCGTGACATGTGACACGCCAAGGTCCCCAGGGCACAGGCCTGGTGTGCCAGGACCCTGGAGTGTGCCCCGCCCAGCACTCCCAGAGTCCCCGCAGAGCCGAAGTTGCACGGAGTCCGCAGAGCTGAAGTTCCACGGTGCCGGCTCTGCAGTCCCGGGCGGAGGACGGGACCAGGTGTCCCTCCACACTGTGTCCTGGGCGGGAGCCAGCGGTGCCGTCCTGTAGGATTCTGCTTGGAGAAAAAAGTTCTCCTACCAAAAAGAATTTTGAAAACTGTTGCCCTGAAATGAAGAACACTTAGCATGTCCCCAAACCCCTGTATCTCAAACTATGCCTTTTGTATGTTTCACATGGTGTGTAATTATAGTTGTCTGTAATACGTATAACGTGTGCGCATGTTACACTATGTTCTTTATGTATTCACACGTATTTCGGAGTAGTCAGACGAAGGCTGGCACGGCGCGTGGTAGGAGCGTCTTTGCCTCCCGCGGCAGGTGCCTGGTGGCCTGGTCTTTCGGGGTTCCCCAGCGCCCTGTCCTCTGTCCTTGCAGAAGCTGTACCGGAAGGAGATCAAGCCGCCGTTCAAGCCAGCAGTGGGCAGGCCCGAGGACACCTTCCACTTCGACCCCGAGTTCACGGCGCGGACACCCACAGGTGTGCGTCTCAGCGGTTCTTCCCGTGGGTGGGGTCTTCTACCTGGCTCCTGAGGGACAGGTGTCCAGGAGCCGGACTCCCACGCCCAAGGGTGCTTTCCACGGAAAATAACTACCAGTTCCGACTGGTCTTGTTTTCTCTGCTCAGTGATAGAGGTCTAAGTGGTAGAACCAAGCTCTTCTCCTCCCTGGGCGGCATGCACTTAGGAAGTCATCAAGGTGGTCTAGAGAGACCGGATGCTAAGGGTGCGGTATTCCCTGCGTTCCCTGACACTTCCATCCTGAGGTTGTAGTCGGCTCTTTATCTCAGTCCGGAGTGGGTAGGGGTGGAGGATTATGATTAAGAATGTTCAGTACATTCATAAGGCAGCAAACGAAAAGATGTGATTGGCCGGGCACAGTGGCTCATGCCTGTAATCCTAGCACTCTGGGAGGGCAAGGCGGGTGGATCGCTCAAGGTCAGGAGTTTGAAACCAGCCTGAGCAAGAGCTAGATCTTGTTTCTACTAAAAATAGAAAGAAATTAATTGGCAAACTAAAAACATATAGAAAAAAAATTAGCCAGGCATGGTGGCTCATGCCTGTAGTCCCAGCTACTCGGGAGGCTGAGGCAGGCAGGAGGATCGCTTGAGCCCAGGAGTATGAGGTTGCTGTGAGCGAGGCTGCCGCCACGGCTCTCTAGCCCAGGCAACAAGAGTAAGACTGTCTCAAAAAAAAAAAAAGGTGATCATCCTAAAGTTTTTGTTGTAGGCATTTTTGCCACTTAAAAATCAAACCATTAGCACCACCCAAAATAAAGCAATTTCATCTGGTTCAGCAGGTCTACATGTCCGTTTTGCCTTCCCCTCCAACACATGCACGTGTTACATGCACATGCATACACACCACACGCAGGCATGCACACGCCACGCACACACACGCACATGCCCACTCCCTCCGCACACAGGCACACGCTATCATTTCAGCCCGAGGCTGTGCGGCCCTGGCGAGGTCTCACCCTGCCACTGCCCCGCAGACTCCCCCGGCGTGCCCCCCAGCGCCAACTCGCACCACCTGTTCCGGGGATTCAGCTTTGTGGCCTCCAGCCTGGTCCAGGAGCCCTCGCAACAAGACCTGCACACAGTTCCCGTCCACCCAATCGTGCAGGTAACCCCGCTCGCCTCCCGGGGGGGGTGGACAAGGAGCGTGTGGCTGCCGCCGGGCCCTGGGTCCCCCACGGCCTCCGCCAGCGGGTGCTGGTGCCAGGGCGGCGGGCGCCAGTCTTCTCCCGACACGCCCGTCGCTCCCGAGCGCCTGCCGCGGCGACCCCCGCCGCCGTGGTCCCCGGGTGGTCTGAGCTCGCTCGGCACCTACTTCACACTGACCTCCAAGAGGGAGAAATGTCCTAGAAGATGTCACCACAGTGTGTCTGTGGCGGGGACTTGGGCACCCTGCTGTGTGGAGTCCGGCCAGCACCCCAAGACGGCGCTTAGATCTCTGCGTGCCGTTTCCCTGTCGTGAAACGCAGTCCTCTTTGGGAGGTCCGTGGAAGATCACGTTTTTATAAGGCATTTTCCCCGTGATAAGTGTAACCAGAATACGGAGAACGCTAAGAAGGAGTTATAATTAAACTCACTTAAGAATAGAGTCAAGGGCCGGGTGTGGTGGCTCACGCCTGTCATCCTAGCACTCTGGGAGGCCGAGGCGGGAGAATCCCTCAAGGTCAGGAGTTCGAAACCAGCCTGAGCAAGAGCGAGAACCCTGTCTCTACTATAAATAGAAATAAATTAATTGGCCAACTAATATATATAGAAAAAATTATTTGGACATGGTGGTGCATGCCTATAGTCCCAGCTACTCGGGAGGCTGAGGCAGCAGGATTGCTTGAGCCCAGGAGTCTGAGGTTGCTGTGAGCTAGGCTGACGCCGCACGGCCACTCCACTCTAGCCTGGGCAACAAAGCGAGACTCTTGCTCCAAAAAAAAAGAACAAAGAACAGAGTCGGGGTGAGTTGGATGCCAGTGGATTTCCACGCTGCTTCTCTCCCCGTGGCCTTTTGGAAGAATGCAGCGAGTGTAAAGGGGGCGCTGGCCGTGGCAGCCCGCACCGCGTTGGTGGCTTCTTGCCTCTGTCGAGAGGGTGGCGCAGGGCCGTGGACGCAGGGGAGCAGGCTGAGACTGGGCTTCCTGCAGCCGTGTTTCCCCTGGGGCGTGTCCGTCAGGGTTCCCGCTCCGGACGCAGGCGTGAGAGCCACACACCGGGCAGCTGCAAGCACGTCCCTCTTTCCGCTTCCCGATGACCCTTTCTCAGATCTCAGGGAGGAACGTGGCCAGCCAGGGGATGCAGAGTGATCTGGTGGCTCAAAATAAAGAGCCGTAACCCAAGGACTCAGAGAGGGTGGGGACGTGGGTCTAGAGCCAGCACTGAGCAGCTCTGTGACCTGGGCTCGCTGTCCTCGGTGCCCAGTCCAGCCCTCGCCCCGCCCCGTGTGTGCGTGGGGGGGGGGTGGGTGCGCCGGGCCTTTGTGGGCGCCTCCTGACGCCCTCCCTCTCTCCGCCCCCCGCAGCAGCTGCACGGGAACAACGTCCACTTCACCGACGGCTACGAGATCAAGGAGGACATCGGGGTGGGCTCCTACTCCGTGTGCAAGCGCTGCGTGCACAAAGCCACCGACGCAGAGTACGCCGTGAAGGTGAGGCGGGCGTGGCCGGGGCGGCGCCCCGTGCGGGAACGCGGTTCTGTGTGGGTGAGCGCGGTGCGGGTGCGCAGACCCCGGCAGGAACACCCGAGCCCGGGCAAGCAGTCTCTCGGTCTCCAGTTTCCACGCGCTGGTACGATGGAGTTTGGTCTGCTTTGGTACTCGGCCACCCGCTGAAAGACCGTTTTGCGAGTCAGGAATATTTCGTCACATCCAACCTGTAGGAACTGACCACCTTTAGTGGTTTCACGTGTGATGTATACCAGGAATAAAGGCTGCGGGTCCCCAGTGTGTTGAGAGCATAGAGTTGGGGGACAGGTGTAGCATTTGGCAAGGGAAAGAAGGAAAGAAAAGAGGGAGAGGGAGGAAGAGAGGGAGGAAAACATAGCCACTAAAAAATAATCAGAGAAACACACAGAAGTATAAACTTCTATGTATTATAAAAAAAGCATAAATTTTATAAGTAGTATAAAAAAGTATGAATTTTTTGCAAAAACGTCAGCAGGGAACGAGTGGTCTTAGTCCCAACCATCAGTAACGGTACCTGGAAACATAGCTGTGCTCCAACTTGACAGTCTGTACCTTTAGCTTCTGTGATTGCTGCTCGGTTGAATACTGCACCTGGGAACCCAGCATACCAATTTCCAGAGGTTTCTGGTTGGTAAAATGTAGATTAAAGGTAAAGCTTCCTGCTAATCAGAACCCGGTGCACGAGCAAAGCACACGCCGTGCATCCCATCGACAGGACAGGGAGGGGCGCCCAACACCACCGCGCCCCCACGGGGCCGGGCTCCAGGCTCTCGAGGGGCGAGGTCCTCGCCGTCTCGACGGGGGGACCGTTCTGGCTTCCCCCCAGACCCGTCTGCCGCACATGGCGCTGCCCCAGCTCTTCCAGGGACATTGAGGGGGGGAGATGGAACCTGCCCAGCCAGGCAGGAGAGTCAGAGGAGTAATTTTCATCAATTGTGATTTTCATGAACTCTGACAAGATTGTCCAAATCAGGGACTGCTGTGAGGGGACCCCATTCCATCCTAGTGTGTTCGCAGCTCCACTGCCGTTCTGTGAAAATGCACGTTCTCTAAAAAGGTGGAGCCCACGGACTCACTGGGCACGTCTACCCTGTGCTGCTTGCGCCGGGAAACACCCAGCCTTGACACCACAGACACCAGCCGAAAACCTCAGGTCCCTTGGTTCAGTTTGGGTCAGGAATTTATGGGTGATTGGCAGATTTATCCTGGATTTCTCAAGCAAAAAAAAAAAATGTTTAGGTATGGAGGGACAATTGGTTTGGGAGTCCCTCTGATAGCGTCTCCGAGTTCATTCTGCCCAGTGTCGTGAGCACAGGACGGAGAGGTCAGAGGGAGCAGGGGTGTCATGCTCTACAAGTCCTGGGGCGCTGGGGTGGGGCTGTAGTGAGGGAGGGTCCCTGTCCTGCTAGAATGTCCATCGGTGGCATTGGAGTGCTGTCGTGCTGTGAAGTGATTCCTCTCCCGCACGTGGCACAGGGGCTCGGTGGACTTCTGGGATTTGGACTGCTGGGGGGTTGTTTCTTCTTGCTCCTCCATCTCGTCATTGGGACGGTTTGAAGGGCGGACACCTGCTGTTCCCAGACGCCGTCCCCACGTCCAGACGCAGCAGCCGTGGAGAGTCAGCCTGCATTCTGCTCATTTATTTATTTATGAGACAGAGTCTCGCTTTGTTACCCAGGCTAGGGTGCCATGGCGTCAGCCTAGCTCACAGCAACCTCAATCTCCTGGGCTCAAGCGATCCTCCTGCCTCAGCCTCCCGAGTAGCTGGGACTGCAGGCATGTGCCACCATGCCCGGCTAATTTTTTTTCTATATATATATATTAGTTAGCCAATTAATTTCTTCCTATTTATAGTAGAGACGGGGTCTCGCTCTTGCTCAGGCTGGTTTCGAACTCCTGACCTCGAGCGATCCGCCCGCCTCGGCCTCCCAGAGAGCTAGGATGACAGGCGTGAGCCACCGCGCCCGGCCTGCACTCTGCTCTAGACCAGAGAGTCCGACGTACACGGGGAGACATGTCCCACGTTCGCTGCGCAAGCGTGCGTGGGCTTCTTAGCGTTTCTTCTGCGTGGCTCGTCGCCCACAGAACTTCTTTAGACTGCTTGTCGGGCGGCCAGCGGCAGTCCTGGAAACAAGCGCGGCCTGCCAGCGAGCACAGAGACAGGCGCCTATTGTGTGGCCAGCCCAGCAACCGCGGCGACCTTCCAGAAACAGCCGGCGACGACTGTGAGTCCGCTGAGCGCCTGTCCCGTGCTCTGCGAATAGACCCCCCATTGATGAGGGCAGGGCTGTGCCTTCTCCTGGCAGCCCCTATCCAACCCTCACACAAAGACACCCTCTGACTCCGGCTTTGTTAAGTGGCTTCTCACTCGGTCCCCAGGGACCCGCTGCAGCCAGACCCAGGGGAGTTTCGGCAACGGCTCTCCCGGGGGACGGAGCCGGGCGCTGTGGCTCCAGGGGACGGTAGAAGGAGGAGCCGCGTCTTCCTGTTTCTTCTCTTTCTTGCAAGCCTTGACGTTCCCTGGACCAGCGTAGCTGGTGGAGGTGACAGGGACTTCCCTCATCCTTTCCGAATCTACAGCGGGTCGTAACTCACCGTCTGGAAGATGCTTACATCAACCCCGCCCAGGAGGTTAATTAACCCCACCCAAGGAGCAGCACCCACGAGACCAGGGACTTCTCATCGAGATGCGGCTGGTGGCCCAGGTGGCCCCGAGGCCCGGAGCTATTTCACAAGCATGTTCAGCTGATGATGGGAGTGGTGGCAGGTTCGGTTCCCTAAGTGCGGACACACCCTGCCTTTCCTCCAAAGGTGGGCACGCAGGTGCCACAGAGCTTCGCGGCAAAGGGCTGTCTGTAACTTTAGCATGGGTCCAGGTGCCCAGCGCGGCCTCGGCACGTGCAGATCACGTTCCACTTCGCCCTCAGCACTTCCCACGTGGACTGCAGTGGAAATGCTCTTGGCTTCTCCGGGGTCAGCTAACTTGCTAACGAGCAGCAGGTCCCACCTACCAATAGGAGAGCCGAGAGACCGCGAAGCGCAGTGTTTTCTAGCGTAACGTGGAACCAAGAACGTGGCCGTTAATCCTGGGTGTGTGAGTTGAATGTCAGCTCCGCAAATGTCCCGCTGAGATTCGCTCCCTAGAATTCAGCTGTAGGCTCCGAGGTGCCCCTTGACAGCTAACCGGTCCAGCTGTCCCCGTCCGCACAGGGCTCGCGGCGGGGAGGGGTCCACGGCGCTCTGAGAGTCAGCGCCGGACAGCGCGTCCTCCTCGCCCGGCTGCAGGGATGCTCGGAAACGTCCCCGGGGCGATGAGTGGAAAGAGAATGCGGCAGTCTTGACTGGACAGTGAGGGCTGTGACCCAACTCCGGTGCTTTCTGCCGAGCGTGGTCATACGCAGTTGCCACCTAGGGGACACCGGCCGCGACAGGAGCTATTTTGGTTTTTGCAGCTGGGGCAGGGGGTGCTCCTGGCCTTAGTAAATACGAGTCAGAGGTGCCATGTGATGTCCTACGATGCACAGGACAGGCCCCGGGACGAGGCTGAGAAGCCCGGCCCAGAGCATCCTTCTGGGTGGGGTGGGTCCCGGGGACAAGGTCCAGGGGGCTGATATTGTGGAGACGGGGTGGGGTTTCTGGTGACTGTTTTAGCAGCAGGATGATGATGTGACCGAGAGCTCGGTGTCTCCTACGTGCTGCAGCCCAGCGGTGACGCAGAGAGCAGGTCCCGGAGGAGGAGGAGGGCAGGTGGCTCTCCGCCCCTGTGTGGCTCAGGTGCCAGGCCTGGGGCTGCTGCTGTGGGGCCACAGTGGTTCTCACAGTCCTGGAATATCGGTACGTTTTTGCTTTACGTTATTTCTACATCTCATAGGTTCCTGACTTTGCCGCTATGATTGCCCAGTCTTCATATAAACTACATTTAGGGTTATGCTCAGACCGAGTTTACCCAGGGACCTTCCCGGTCAACGAGATCACCAGTTTTGTGTTTATTTGCAGCCGCATTTTTTAAACTGAGTCCCTGCTACGTGCGGGGCACCGTGCTAAAGATTTCGGGAAGTGACAACTAGAATTGGTCCTAAAATTGGTGAGACCGATTCTAAAAGCTTTATTTAGCACAGAATCCTGCGTGTAGCGGTGATGCAGTTGGCGTGGGTTGAATGACAATCTGAGTCCCTTGGCCCCTGCCCCCCCCCCCGACTTGGGCCAGCAGCACTAGGAGCCCAGGGTCCTCCCCCAGGACAGGGTGGCCTCAGCAGGAGGACAGGAGGTCAGGGTACACACCCTCTTCCTCCTCACAAACACGGTTGGGGGCTGGATCGGATGTAGGGAGCTGGATCGGGTGTAGGGCGCTGCCCAGTGGCCCGGCCAGGGTGCTCATTGTTGGATGAGAAAAGCTATTTTGTTCTCCCAGGGCCTCCTCCTCCTTCTATCAGATGTATTGTCGGCACAGATGTGCCCTACTTTCTAATAACGGGGAGCCATTTCACTGGGACGGAACAGCCAAGTGCTCTAATGTAAGACTTGTCTGCCTTTGTTTGTGCAACCCGCCCCGAGGCCATTGTTGGAGGAAATCGTGCAGGACTTTGAAACGACGTGACATGTGACTGCACAGATGTCCGAGCATAAGGGCACCCATCATTTAAAATAAGATTAAAATGGAATTACCAAGTGCTGAAGGTAAATGTGATTGAGTAAGATCGGAAGGGAAGGGGAGAGATGTATTTGAAAGAAAGAATAATTAATATTCTTATTTCGTCAAAGGTGCTGTACTCACTTTATAAGAATTGAGAGAGGGAGTTATTTATTTGTATTTTGTTCTTCAGTCTCTATGGGTTAGCGTAATCAGGTACATATTCCAGACAGTGCCAATTTGGAAGGCTTCCTGGCATTATATAGGTAAGGGAAATATATACGAATTTGAAAATATATGTATACAGTTGCCCCTTAAACAAGACAGGTTTGAA